AGAATGATGGGAATTATTCCCTGAATTATTGCATTAAAAACTTTGTTTCACCCTGGCTGATTTGGCTTGGCAGTCAGAATGTCGGCCTATGGACTGATGAGTTGAAGGTTCGAGTCCAGTCAAGGGCAGGTGCCTCAGTTGGTTGCAGGTTTGATCCCTGGCCCCAGTCAGGGTTGTGCAGGAGGCAACCAACCAATCAATGTGTCTCTCTCACATTGATGTTTCTCTCTCTTTTTCTCTCTCCCTCCCACTCTATCTGAAAAAAATCAATGCAAAAATGTCTTTGGATGAGGGTTAAAAAAATATTATGTCTCTTGCATTAATTTTGGACAACAGTTTAATTTAGGTATAGCATTTTTTTGCATTTTCATTTCCTAAATTCTTGATAAATATTGCTCCTCTGACTTCTATTTTGAATGTTGCTGTGTGGAAAGTTGAAGTCAATCAGATTCTTTTCATCTTTATAGGTGAATTGATCTTACTTTTTCTTTAAATGATTTTTTTCCCAGTGGTTGTATAGACATGGTTGAATTCTTACCATCTATAGATTCAAATATCTTATTTCTGGAAAATATTATTGAATTACATTTCTAAGTTTTCTGTTTTGTTGTTGTTCTTTTATTGATAATTATCTATGTATTAGATTTACTTTGTTTGTTATATTTATTATTTTCTAATTCTGATAAACTGTTGTTAATTTCTACTTTATGTTGCCCATTTTCTCAGTTCTGTCCTCTAAACTGCTTACTGGGTAGTTAGTGGTGTCTCTTCTGCCTTGGGCTGTTTCCAGCTTCCTTTTAAAAATAATTTTTAATTTTTTGATTATGGTTCATACACAATATTATATTCGTTTCAGGTGGACAACATAGTCATTAGATCTACATGGAATGGTTTTAGAAAGCCTGCACTTTTAGCTAGTTCAGGGCCTCCTGGTAACAAGTAGCTCGAACTGTAAAAAAAAAAAAAATCTTAGAAAGAAGGGACAGATGCTCTTCACCATCTGCTAAGTTTTACTGTTGAGTCATACTCCTTCTTTATTATGTTTCAGATTATCAGAATTCCCCTTTGAGGTTTTGCTTTTCTCCTTTTCTATCCACTCATACAACTTTTTTTGCAGAAATTATTTTACTTTAATTTGAATGTGTATTGTTATGCATGTTTTTAATTTGTGAATTTAAAAATAATATTTTGGAGATTATTTGGTTTTGTTATATGGAAGAAAGGTTATGGAATTGCCTCCTTATTTTCAGAGTAGGTTGTATATTCTTTTCCTAAGCAAGAATTAGGAGTAAATCTTGTGTAAATGGTTTATTAGGTTTCATGATATTTTATTAAATGCAAATATTAGGTGGCTGTTGAGGGAAATGTATAAAGCTGAGGAAAATACAAATTTAGAGGGTCTTTGGATATGCCCCCTTTTTTTACACTGTACATGGATATGGTAGATGCATTTTTTTTTTTTGAGCAACATACCTCTTAGAATGTGAGTGCTCTGTGTTTTTTTTTTTTAATCCTCACCTGAGGACATTTTTCCATTTTTTGTTCAGATAGAGTGGGAGGGAGAGAGAGAGAGAGAAACATTGATGTCAAAGGGACATATCGAGTGGTTGCCACCCGCACGACCCAACCAGGCTGGGGACAAACTGCAACCGAGGTACATGCCCTAGGCAGGAACCGAACCCGGGCCTCTCTGGACCGCAGGCCGACGCTCCAACCACTGAGCCAAACCGGCCAGGGCTGGTTTGTTTTTTTATAATATGTTTTTAATTGACTTTTTTTAAGAGAAAGAAAGGGAGAGAGAGAGAAACATTGATGTGAGAGAGAAACATCGGTCGGCTGCCTCCTGCACGCCCCCCACTGGGGATCGAGCCCACAACCTGGGCATGTGCCCTGACTGGGAATCAAACTGGGACCTCTCAGTTCATGGGGTGACGCTCAATCCTTTGAGCCACACCAACCAGGCTGGGTGCATACTTCTAGTCCAAGATTTGAGGAGCACTTCTGAGTATGTCCAAATCATCCATTTGATCCACTTGGCTCTTGGGAAATGGCAAGGGATTCTAAGTATCACTGTGGACCTTTTAGGATAACATGGTTATAAACTGTGGCCACAGGGCTCAAGAACTTGGGCTGTGACTGACTGTGCCCACCTTACTTCTTGTTATTATTAAGCCGTTTTCCCCAGGAAGTGTGTATCATAGTGTTACCCACAGCAGGTTATCTATTTGTCAGGTGTATGTGTGTCAGTCTCTAGTCCTGGCACATGGGAAAAGGTAAGGGCTGTTTTTCTGGGAGATAGTCAGTGGAATCTTAGATTCTCAGGGCTTGTCACCTATCATTACATTTTGTAAAGTTTGGCCAGAAGCGGTAGTGGTAGCAGTACATGCCATCAGTGACCTTTTATTCTGTGCCTCGTGCTGTGTCAAGTGCTTTTATAGTCCCTATTTCATTTTTTATTAGAATGATTACATGAAGTAGAAGATTGGATAAAAAAGCTGTGGTACATGTACACAATGGAATACTACGCAGCTGTAAGAAAGAGAGATCTCACTCTTTGAGACGACATGGAGGGACCTGGAGAATACTATGCTAAGGGAAATAATCCAGTCAGAGAAAGACACGTATCACATGATCCCACTTATTTGTAGAATATAACAAGCACAATAAGCTGTCGAACAAAATAGACCCAGAGACATGGAAGTAGGGAACAGACTGACTAACCTCAGAGAGAAGGGAGGTGGGGGAAGCGGGAAGAGAGAAACCAAAGGACTTATATGCATATATGTATAACCCATGGGCACAGACAACAATGCGGTGAAGTGGGGGATGTCACTAAAGGGGAACAAAGGGAGGGGCATCTGTTACTACTTTCAACAATAAAGATACATTAAAAAAAACGATTATAAGAGCTTTTTATTATCCCCATTTTACTGATGAGAAAACTGAGGCTCAGTTAGATTATGTGGGAGTTAAATAGTTGAGTTGGGATTTAAATCCAGGATTTTCTGGCTCAAAAGCACGTGCCCTTAACGAGTACTGTATTACTGTCTCTCAGAGGTGGTGAGTAGTCTTGTAAGTCTTCTAAAGCTAAACAAGAATAAGACATTATAGATAAACAATAAGAATTATCATTATACATCATTTAACACAGCTTAACTCTGCGTTTGAATAATTAAAACAGACTTTCACATTTGACTTGTCCCTTCCTCTCACGTAGCTTAGAGAATCGGATTATAGTATTCCCCCTCATCTGTGGACACGACATTCCAGGACTCCAGTGGACGCCTGAAACTGTAGATAGCACTGACCCCTATGTATCCTATGTTTTTCCTATACATACGTACCTCTGATAAAGTTTATTTTATAAATTAGGCATAGTATTAGATTAACAACAATAACTAATAATAAAATAGAACAATTATAACAATATACTATAATAGAAGTTATGTGACTGTTGCCTCTTTCCCTTTGATAACCGATCCGATGACCGAGACAAGCTACTAAGTGACTAGTGGGCAGGTAGTATACACAGTGTGGATATGCTGGACAAAGGGATAATTCATGTCCTGGGCGGGATGGAGTGGGACGGTGTGAGATTTCATCACACTACTGAGAACAGTGCACAATTTAAAATGTATGAATTGTGTACTTCTGGAATTTTCCATGTAATATTTTCAGGCCGTGGTTGACCACTGGTAACTGAAACCATGGAAAGTGAAACTGTGGGTTTGGGGGCGGGGAACTGTATAAAATAAGGGGTAGAAGAGTGAGTGTTGCTTTCCCACTGATAATTCCATACAAGGTTAAATGGATTGTACTTGAATTTCCTTCCTTTTCCTAACAAAAAACCTTTAGGCGTTAAATGTCAAAATGAAAATTTATCCTGAATAAATAAAGTGGGTTCTGGGATAGGAACCATTATGAACTACATAAAATTACTTAAAATAATATCTTCCATATTTCTCACTTTTAACATGGAAATGCGCTCTTGTGTCATTTGGTGATCCAAAAACAGCGCAACTAAGATCAGATTTTTTTTGGGATGGGGTAGTGGAGTTAAATATTTATTTCTGTGGCTGTAACGGGGACTGCCTTGTGAATTCCACTGTAACTTTGTGATTAATGGGACCTTACCTTAGCGTCTTACCAAGTATTTCTGCCTTCTGGGTACAATAGAGACAGACTCTCCTATTGTTTGTAGTTACCCTCATAAAAATCTGAAAGCAGGAAAAGAAACGTTCTTTTCCTCTTAGGACAAGTTTGCCTTCTGCTTTTTAAAATTAGATTTGCACTTTCCCTGTAGTGTGAAGACAGAGCCCTCCAGGTCCACACTTACACCTGTGGCTGGGTCTGCGGCCCTCCACCTTGAGGTGGGGTGCTTTCTCCTTGAACCGCCAATGCTGGGCAGTGGCAAAAAGACCCTGAACGGGCAAGCCATTCTTTTGTTTCACTCTGGCTGTCAATAAAAATAGTCTTTCATCCCCTCCTGTCTTGCCTGAGAGATGGTGTAGGGAAGTTGTTCATTTCTGCCAGTGTGGCTTAAGACACACTCAGAAGACATCCTTCCATTGCCCTGTGGTGGATGCCTTAGTTAACAACCCCGTCACTAAAAACAGAAGGGCAGTGCTGCAAGGAAAGTGGCTCCCAAGATTTGGGGCTGGGTAGTGAGTCCAGGGCACTGGATTGAAGGGAAATTATTCCCGGGCTATTTTGGAGCGTCTAGTCCTGAGGACAATTAAACAGTCCAGACAGGTCACTGGGTGAGACCAATTTCCTGCTTTGTTTATTTGAGCCTGATTGTTTTCACCATCGAGCAGCAGGTCATGGTCCTGCTACACCGTTACCCGAGCTCTGCAGAGAGCAGTCCCTTTCATATTTGGTTTCTTCAGGCTTCCCTAAGGATCCTAGCTTGTCTTTATCTCATTGGATTGCTCTGGGGTCTCTCTCAGGTCCAGGGCAGAGGGCAGAGTCAGTAATCACTTTCAACTTCATCTATACAGGCATTTGGCTTTATGTCCCGAGTTGCTCTACAAGCAGAGAAGATGAATCATCACCCGGAATGGTTCAATGCATACAACAAGGTAATGAAATTGCCTTATTTTGGGATCACCTTAATTATAGAGTTTGGGAAACCTCTTTCTACCTTGTCATCCTGTGCAGCTAAGTGTCATTGGGCTTAGGAAAGTATTCTCTATTGTTTTCCTCAGCATCCCTGTGTATTATTTCAATTTAGTAACAAAATTTCATATCCTCTCAAGAGAACAGTGACCAAGCCTTTTATTTTCATGTTTGTCTTCTATTAAACTAATATGAAAGTTGGGTCATTTTGGCTCCTGAATTAAATTTGAATATCAGCCATGCAGATAAAATTTTGAACCCTCTTAAGGTAAACCATTGAAGAAAATGGAAGCAAATAAGAAAGATAGTGGCCTTATTTATCTAATTGAGATAAATTTGCTCAAGAACTGTGTTTAAATAATAACTATTTAATAAATGCTATATCCTTGGGGGGAACTGACCTTCTTACTTAAGACAAGGAGCAGACTGAAACAATTTCATCGAGTAGTTTTAAGAGGGCACAGTGAGAAGAATCAGTCCCCGTCAAGAGTGTCCTTGCCTTTATGGCTGTACCATTCAGAATTTATCTAGATTTCTGTGGGGGCTCTTTTTTTTCTCTTTGAAAGTCCTCTTTGAATAAAGAGAAAATTTAATGATATTTATGTAATTTTTTGGATAAACAGAACATGCAGGTACCAGGATATACTTTTCTTTCACAGTTGCTTCTCCTTGCCCATAATTTTGCCTTTGCCTTTTAATTATTTGTCAAGAAGCAAGAGACTATTCTTCCACCCACCCCCACCTCACTTTCCTAATTTGGAAATGGGTTTTTTTAACGTTGCTAAGATACTACATTTGATAGCTTAGTTTTTCTCAGTGGCCTGAAAATAGTGGGTATAATTAAAGTAATGAGAGTTCAAATGGAATCTCAGTCTCTCTCTCTCTTTTTTTTTTTTTTTCAAGAGACAAGATTTGAGATTCTGGCAGTTGAATTGCTGTTCATATGAGAGACCCTTTTTATCCCGGGGCAGCTGCTGGGCCCAGCCTGAGTCGGACTGTGCCCCTGAAGTTTACTGGGTTTTGGAAATGCTGTGTTTATTCATGTTTTCTAAATCATTTAATCTACCCAGTTCTTAAATATGAACATCGGATAATAGATTGATTTCTGAACCACCAAAAGAGAATACTATGAATCACAGTTCAGGGTTTTAAAAACTGCTTCTCTCTTTCTTAGGTCCAGATAACTCTCACCTCGCATGACTGTGGTCAGCTGACCAAAAGAGACGTGAAATTGGCCAAGTTTATTGAAAAAGCAGCTGCTTCTATGTGATTTCTTTCAAAATGCATGTAAAATCTTATTTACATCTTAGGTGCAATGTATTTTGAGGGTGATTTACATGAACAAATTAAGTTTAAATTTATACCATATTTTGTAAAATCAGTGCTTAAATACAAAATGATTTACATTGAGCCTGAGGTATTCTTCATTATATCTAAGGTCATATAAAAGGCAAACCAGCCTAGGTAATTATATTAATAATACAGTATTGAAAAAGAGAAATAGCATTTTTAGAGACCAGAGATTGGGTTGGAGGAGCATTCACATGTTTTATAACCCAGCAATTCAAGCGGTTATGGTGACTTTACAAGTGCATTGTGTTGGAGAATAGTTATAAGGTAGACAAAGAATGATAAACTGTAGGTAAAGGGTTATAACCATCTATAACAATTCTTATGAAGCTAATGTTGATTTGGACTTTAGCTGCTGTTATTACTTAATTAGTTAATTGGATTATAATGTCACAAAATTGGGTGCGCTATCTTGTGTTTCTTTCTTTCTTTTAGGCAGATAGTTGAAGGGAGAGGACAAGTGTTTTGTCTATGGCTTCCAGCAAGGTGGGACAACATAAGGATTCACAGTCATAAAGGACCAACTTGCCAGGTCCTTATTTGAATTACTGAGTTAAGGAGGATCCAAGGGTCATTTTTTTGATCACTTGCTTGTTGTGACCTTTGAACTGAAGGTCTTTAGCCATTGAGCTAGGAGCTACTTGGGTATTATCCAGTAATGAGCTCTGTTTACTCTGTGTGTCACTAACAGGAGTAAAATGGAATATAAAGTTATCTATTATTTAAAATTGTACTAATAGCATTCTTTGAAGGAAATGAGGAATGTACTTATTAATGAGCTTAGAATGTAGATTAAAAGAATGTATGCATATATATTTATCCAAGACACACATGTGAATCCCTGGAGCATTATCGTGGTTGGATTTAATAGGGATCACTTCTGTAACCCACCTCGCTTCGGAGGCCAGAAAATTCACTCTGCATTATAACGAGCAAACCTTCCCCTCCCAACTCCATGCCAGCCTCCAATCTGAGAAGCCCTATGGTAACATGACAAAGAGGCCAAACCTACTGGAGCTAGTTCCTGGCTGGTTCTGTTGGCCTGGAGAGGCAGGTACAGTCAGTTTGCCCTGTGGGTATGGAGTGTGCAAAGAGGGAAGAGGGAGAAGGCCACCCACACTCTGTGGCTGCCAGGAGATCCAGAGCCTGGGTGCTAGAACCTCTGCTTCTAGAATTCTTTTAAAGGAAAAGGCAAAGCTGTGGGTTTTTATAAACTCTTATAGATTTTGAGGGACTTTGTTTTATTACCAAATAGTTTTAGTTCAGTACTTCATTTTTTTACATGAATTTTTACATATGAAACTATTTTAAAAGAATGAAGAGTACGTTGAATCCCTTATGTATTACTGATCATCTAGATTTAGCAATTACCTAGATTTAGCCCCACTTACTTCATATAATCCCTCATTTTCTTCTTCTTTGTTAAAAGCATTTAAAAGCAAATCCCAGCCCTTGCCTGTTTGGCTCAGTGGTTAGAGCATTGGCCTGAGGACCAGAGAGTCCTGGGTTCAGTTCCCGCTAAGGGCACATGCCTCAGTTGCAGTTTGTCCCTGGCCCCGGTTGGGGTCATGTGGGTGGCAACCACTCAGTGTGTCTCTCTTGCATCAATGTTTCTCTCTTCTCCCCTTTCTCCCTCCCACTCTATCTGAAGATAAATGTAAAAAAATAATAATAATAATAAAAAATTTTTTTAAATAATAAAAGCAAATCCCTGGTAGCATTTCATTTTATCCCTACACCCTTCAGTAAACATCTCTAGAAAATATGGTCATTTTCTTGGATAAACCAGAATGCCATTATTATACCTAACAAAATAAACCATGATTTCTTGGTGTCATCTAATACTTGGGCAAAATCAATTGCCCTGAAGGTCAAGAATGTGTTTGGACAGTAATTTTGTTCTAATCAGGATCCATATGAAGTCTACCCATTACATCTGGTTGTTGTGTCTTTTTAATCTTTCAATCTAAAGCAAGCAAGCTCCCCTCTTCTTTCTCCCTTCCCCCTTTCCCATGTCATTGACTTATTGCAAAAACTGGGTCAGGGTTCCTGTAGAATATTCTACCTTCTGGATTTGTTTGTTTGTTTCCTTATGGTATAATTTGTTTCACTGTACCCTGAATGGAAACCTTTCCCCCTCTTAAGTCTGAGATGCTAAACTGTTGGCTGTTAACATATACCACATATAACACACTAGAGAAAGCAGGATATGGCTCATAATTGCCATATCCTCATAATGGTGAAGACCTGAGAATGTAGCCTCTAATTAGCATCTACATGGGGGTTTGACATAAGGTTCCTGTTAACAGTGTTGCATCTGCTGGAACTCAGAAACTTGACTATAGAGAATCAAAGTTCCCATACTGACTATGGAAATACTCGTTGTGGTAAATTCCAGTAGAATGAAAATGAGACCTCAGACTTGCTTCAAGTAACTGACATTTGAACTTAAAAGAGACGTTGGCAAGGTTGGGGGCCCCCATCTTCCCCTGTGTTCCAAATCTTTGTGTGATGGCACTGGTGTCTCTGATGTGGTAAGTTTAATTTTTCCTCCGTTCTCTTTCTAAATGATCGCTGGAGTAGAGAAGAGTTAAATAGACATGACCCCTTGAGTGACCTCCATAGATAACAAACCAGGCAAGCACATTTGACAAGTGTCCTTTTCTAAAATGAAGTTAATGAACGTTCTTTTCATAATGATTATTTTCTGACATTGAGAAGATTTAGGAAATCTTTTTTTTTTTTTTTTAATCCTCATCCGAGGACATTTTTCCATTTTTTGTACAGACAGAGTGGGAGGGAGAGAGAGGAAGAGAGAGAGAGGGAAACATCGACGTGAAAGGGACACATCGAGTGGCTGCCACCCGCACGACCAACCAGGGCCGGGGACAAACTGCAACCGAGGTACATGCCCTTAGTGGGAACCGAACCCGGGTCTCTCCGGACCTCAGGTGGACGCGCTAACTGCTGAGCCAAACTGACCAGGGCAATTTAGGAAATCTTTTGATATATAGACTGGGCATGATTTTTACATTTTTGCTCTGGACAAAAAGCAGCAGCATGTATATTTTTGAACACAAACCTTTATTAGTATATTGAAGTATTGGACGACTAGTATTGTTATGAAGCTGTCTTTATACTGTCTAATTTAGCATTCAAAAATAAACTAGTTAAGCTCTGTAACTTTCAGTTTTGTAAAATTTCCTTCCAAACAGCAAGAGCTTTAACAGGGTTTGGCTATCATCTGTGAGCTTTGTGTTTCAATGCCGGTTACTTGGGACTAGTAAAGCAATGACTCTGGCCAGAAGACTTGAGTCACTAAGTTGCCATGTCCGCTGACTGCGGACTTCCCCTGCTGTGTGCAGCGGAGGTAGTGCCCACGTCGAGCAGAGTGCGAGCTGTTGCTGAAGGGCAGGAGAAGCGCCCCTTTGGCTTCTCATCCCAGGAGGCCCACATTTCCATGAGAAGATCTGGATGATTTCAGTAGACTCTGATAAGCTCGTCACTTCTGATTCCACTGACCAGCTGGAGTTCCATTTCCAAACGAGATGCCATCATCAGTGATTTCAGAAGCCGCATTTAGCTGTGGTTGGCTGTGCTGAAGCAGTGTACTGAGAACTTCTGGGCTCTCTCTGCTACTCTCAGCTGGCCATCTTTCCAAATTTTTATTTTTTATTTTATATCCTCACCCGAGGACATTTTTCGATATTTTGTTCAGATAGAGTGAGAGTGAGAGAGAGAGAGAGAGAGAAACATCGATGTGAAAGCGACACATCGAGTGGTTGCCACCCACACGACCCAACCAGGGCTGGGGACAAACTGCAACCAAGGTACGCGCCCTTAGCGGGAACCGAACCCGGGTCTCTCCGGACCACAGGCCAACGCTCTAACTGCTGAGCCAAACCGGCCAGGGCAAATTTTCATTCGACCACACAATGTCCTTTTTTTTTTTAATCCTCATCCGAGGACATTTTTCCATTTTTGTACAGACAGTGTGGGAGGGAGAGAGAGGAAGAGAGAGAGAGGGAAACATCGATGTGAAAGGGACACATCGAGTGGCTGCCACCCGCACGACCAACCAGGGCCAGGGACAAACTGCAACCGAGGTACATGCCCTTAGCGGGAACCGAACCCGGGTCTCTCCGGACCGCAGGTGGACACTCTAACCGCTGAGCCAAACCGGCCAGGGCTCAGCTGGCCATCTTTCCTCATGCCTCCAAGCATCGTGAAGAATTCTTTCCTTATCCTCTTCTCCATTTCTCCCCCAACGCATTGTTTGGTACCGAAAGAGGAAAGGCATAGAGGTATACAATTGGGGTCCCTGGAGATGAAATTTCACTACACTCAGCTACTTGAATGAGCATAAGGATCCCTGGCCATTCTTTTGTATATTCATAGAGCACACACGTACAGAGGGCCTGCAAGGGGATTTGGCACATTGATGTATTGAGGCAGGTGGAAACAACTGATTCGGGCTCTTTCAGAGCAGCTGCTCCAGGAGGCCGTTGTGGGGATGCTGGACAGGAGCCTAGAAGGCTTAAGGGGGCGTATGACCAAAGGAGGTATAGGAGGAGCTGAACCCTGAGGGAGAGAATGTAGACTGAGATGATGAGACTGAAGTTTGAATGTTGGGGACATTAATCAAAGTGATTCTTTTTTTTTTAATACGTTTTTATTGATTTTAGAGGGGAAGGGAGAGGGAGAGAGAGAAACACCAATGTGAAAGAGACACATTGATTGGTTGCCCCCCACCCAGCCCTGACTAGGGCTGGTGACCAAATGGCAACCGAGGCACATGCCCCTGACTGGAACTGAACCTGAGACTCTTTGGTGTGCAGGCTGACACTCTAATTGCTGAGCCAAACTGGCCAGGGCTCAAAGTAATTCTTTTTTTTTTTTTATCCTCACCTGAGGACATTTTTCCATTTTTTTTTTTGTTCAGATAGAGTGGGAGGGAAAGAGAGGAAGACACAGAGAGAGAAACATCAACATGAAAGAGACACATCGAGTGGCTGCCTCCCGCATGACCCATCCTGGGCCAGGGACAAACTGCAACCAAGGTACGTGCCCTTAGTGGGAACCAAACCTGGGCCTCTCTGGACCGCAGGCCGATGCTCTAACCGCCGAGCCAAACCGGCCAGGGCTCAAAGAGTTCTTAAAGCTTAACTGTTGATAATTTTAAATGGAGAAATTGAATAAATAAGATGTTATTTCCTGGTTTAGTTTAGTCTTGGTTGTTTAAAGAGTATTTTCCTACAAGGAATGGTCATATACACTTGTTTTAGAACATCTGGGACAGCGAAGGTGGTGTGTGGTCACCTCCTTTTTTCGTGGCTCAAGAACTTAGGTTTCCAGGAATTTGACCGATTTATTTATTTATTTTTTATCCTCACCCAAGGACATATTTCCATTTTTTGTTCAGATAGAGTGGGAGGGAGGGAGAGAGAGAGAGAGAGAGAGAGAGAGAGAGAGAGAGAGAGAAACATCGAAGTGAAAGGGACACATCGAGTGGCTGCCACCCACACAACCCAACCAGGGCCGGGGACAAACTGCAACCAAGGTACATGTCCTTAGTGGGAACTGAACCCGGGTCTCTCTGGACCACAGGCTGATGCTCTAACTGCTGAGCCAAACGGGCCAGGGCCAGGAATTTGGCCAATTTAGCCACTAAAGATTTAGTACAACACAGGGCTGTCTTGATTTGCCTTAAAAACCAAAGAGGCGCCCTGGCTGGTTTGGTTCAGTGGTTAGAGCGTTGGCTCACAGACCGGAGAGTCCTGGGTTTGATTTCTGCTAAGGGCACGTACCTTGGCTGTAGTTTGTTCCCGGTCCCGGTTGGGGTCTTGTGTGGGTGGCAACCATTTGATGTTTCTCTCTCACATCGATGTTTCTCTCTCTTCCCTTTTCCCCTCCCGCTCTATCTGAAGATAAATGCAAAAATGTCCTGGGTGAGGTTAAAAATAAAACAAAAAAAACCCCAAAGAGGCAAGGAGAAGGAGAATATATTAATTCCAAGAATTGAACAGAACAAAAAATTCTATTGCTCTTGTACCTAAAATGCCTCCGCACCATGTACTCATCATTTACACTCTAGGTGGTTCATCTGTGTACAGTCCATGCCCCCAGGTAGCCTTCTGTTTCTTATGTTCTAGCTCCAAACCCATCAAAACCTTTCCTTGCCCTTCCAGGTGCTTCCAGTGCTGGTGCGCCCTTGCTCTTAGAACCCCAGAGAACTTTGCTTTACTCTCTTCTAGGATTAACTTATTGTAACATATTATTAAGAGCCTTTGTCAATACAAGGTGGAAAAGCCCCACAATGTACAGAATGTAAAATGCTGACAGATTTAGGAGAAAATTACAGCTGAGTTTCAGCTATTAACACATTAGGATACCCAATAGCTTCCTGACAGCTAGTAGTAAACCCATCCCTGAGGGGAGCACAAGTTAACGTCCTTAGACTACAGGCCCTGATAGAAGTGGGCATTAAGACAGTTCCAGGAAAATAAAGGAAACCTAGGTATGAAAACTGAGCTACATGGAAGCAACCGAGTCAGCGTATAAAATGTGGCTCCTCCCCTTTTCTCCCATATCCTGACCTTTCACAGCTCTGGCTCCCCGCAGTGAGCCCAGGGCAGACTAGTGCGCCCCTAAAGGGGCTCCATGCCACCCTACAAGCCCATCTGGGACTCTGGACTAACAATCAGTTCTCTGAGCCACCTGTATCTTTTGAAAAATGGAGGGGTTCTTTCAGTTCATGTCATCACCCATGCCCCAGGTCTAAGTTATCTGCTTCCCTTTTTCTTACCCCCCACATCCAGTGTCCAGCTAAGTCCTGTCAGTTCTACCTCAACAGTCCTTCACATCTTTTCTCCTCACCTGGATAATTTTAGTGGCCTCTCGGCTTCCTTGACGTCCTCTTACCCCAGCCTACTTTATATCCCCATGCTAGATTCATCTTACTGAAACAGTTCTGACTATGATCGACCCCATGTTTGTGTTCTGTCTCCCCTGCTAGACTGTAAGCTCCTGATGGGCAGGATCTGTGTCCGAGACATCTTTGTATCTCCCATAGCGCACATATCAATAAATATTTCTTGAATGAATAACGTAAAAAAAAAAAAAGAGCCTTTGTCTGTCAGATGAGGGCACTTTGTGAAGAAAAAGGGGTTTTCATCTGGCCTATCTCTGGTGGCTCCCAATTTTAGCCCGGAGCATCTCAATTACTAGTTGCCCTTTGGCTGAACTGAGGTGCCCAGTCTCCTTGGGAAGAGAGGATCTGTGGATAGATTGGCTGGGGAGCTAGCCCCTCCAGGGGCCTGCGGACTAATAACATACTGGAATGCCCAAGAATGACCTCATAAAGCAGGGATTCTCCTAGTGAACCCTTCTCTGCAGTCTGTGGAATCTAAACGCCAAGGAAATCCCTAAACAGAGATTTTCTGTTGGATTATAGAAGTGAGGAATAAAAACTGAAAATTTGGAAAATGTCTCAACACTTATATCTCCCGATCCACACAAGAGCCACTTCTAATTCCCTGTTGGATAATGCATCGATGTTCCTCTGTGCAAGATTCAAGACATTTCAGTAAATATTCTGTTTCTATTGCTTGTTAAGAAATGTGCGGTAGCAGGGATGGCAGGGTGCCAGTGCTCTCGGCCTCTTCCCACAGGCACTCGTCCACTTCTCATGTAGAGGTACACCCCTCGATAACCTGGTTCCTTGGCGAGGCTGGAGAAGGCTCAGCCAAACATATTACTTCTTCTTTGGCTTTAGTATGACTACTGACTGGTTAAGTCAGACATTCAGTCACACTCTTATTTGACTAAATGAGTAGTTTGACTTCATTTTGTCCTTTTTTGTTAACGACAGATAATTTGAAGGTTTTTTTTTGGTAGTTGACCCTATCTCAAGTCAGATAAATTAAACATCTTGTTTTTATACTTATAAAAGTATCTGCATTCTGTATTTTTTTACTGTTGGGAGAATGTGCTCATTTGTTACATATACTAGAAAGTTACACTTTTAGAGAAAAATTACAAAGCACAGATAAATATAAACAAACAGGAAAAAGAATCACCTACAACCTCACACTATCAACATTTTGACATGTTTCCTGCCAAGTTTTTTTCTATCCTTTTTTGTACAGTTGAGATAATTTTGAATCTTGTTTTTTTTGTTTGTTTAATTTTTTTTTTTTATTAGAGAGAGAGAGAGAGAGAGAGAGAGAGAGACCGACTTGTTGTTCCACTTATTTATGCATTCATTGGTTGATTCTTTTGATTTTTGTATGTGACCTGACCATGGATTAAACCCATAACCTTGGTGTATCAGGATGATGCTCTAACCAATTGAGCTACCCAGCTAGGGCTTTTTTGTGTGTGTTTTGTTATCCAGTGGATCATAAACATTTTTCTAAATCATGAAAAATACGTAGACATATTTTAGTGTCTGTATAATATTCCATGAGATGGATATGCTGTAATTTACTTAACCAGTCTTTTTTGTTAGACTTTTAAATTGTTTCCAAGTTCTTACTACTGTAAATAATGCTGGGATAAACACACTTGGCCCAAGTCACTGTTTGCATTTCAGACTGTATTCTTTTGGGGTAGATTCCATGGGTCAGAGGATATGAACAGTTCTAAGGCTTTTCAGAAAAGTGTCAGTTTACATTCCCCTGGCAGTTTATGAGAATGCTCCATCACACTGCACTCTTGCCAGCATTAAATATTATATTTAAGTCTTTGCTAATTTTATAAGCAAAGAGAATAGTTTTACTTAATCCATCCCCTGATTAGTAGTGCCGCTGAATATTTTAGGGCAAGTTCATTGTCATTTGTATTTCTTTCATAAATTCGACTGTGTTTGCCCCCCCCACTTTGTATTTTTCCTTAGAGTATTTAGTTTTTCATCATTGACTTGGAACCACTTGTCTGGGTGATTATTTGTTTTCCTTACTACACTGACGATATTTAGTTTTGCTCACATTTTGTCTCCTGTGCCCACAGTAATGCCTGGCATGTAGTAGTCACTCAATAAAAATTTGTCAAATGAATAAATGAAGATGATGCTTTGTTTTGCTTGAGAAGGCACGGTAACCATTCCGTTTCAGAGGTCTAGAAAGAACTGAGAAACTGAGTGAGGACAGATCCACTCAGTGATCATCATACATATTTCAGTGGTCATTTAGTATTTCATTGTAATTTTAAAGTATATAAACTTATATCCACAGAAGGAGGAGACCCTAGTCTCTACAAAAAGGTATGCATTCTTTGGGGATCTAGCTCTGTTGTGAAGTAATCATACCTCTTATTCAATTTTTTGACAGGAGGAAAGATACTCAATGTCAGGCATTTGTGAAGAGAGTCATCATGAGTCGTCTTTTTAGGATAATTATGATTAGTACCATCTCAACAAATGCCTTTTTTGTGGTATTGTGGACTGATTATAAAACAAGGTACAACCTGTTCAGACTTTTACAGGTAAGCAGACAAAAAGACTCATTTTTTTTTTATCTGTTTTAAGGCATTCAAGAAAATTTTCTGTAGAAAAATTCTAAGGGCTTTTAAAATATGCTCTAAAATATGGGAAAATGGTGGCAGCAGTGGCAGTGGTGACATGGTTTCTTCATTTCTCTGAATCCCCTCTTAAAAAATATAGAGCAAACAAGCAAAAGCAAAACCCACGGGTAGCATTTGCATCAAAACTAGTTAACAAGGTATACTTTCAAAGAGCCACAACTACTTAATACAGTATCCTTAGAAAGAATCAACTTGTTACATACAGGGAATCCTCAATGAGATTAGTAACTGAATTCTCAGAAACTAGAGGACAGAAGGCAGTGAAATGACATACTTAAAGTAGTGAAGGAAAAATATTGTCAATTAAGAATTTTATATCCAGCCCTGGCTGGTTTGGTTCAGCGGTTAGAGCATCGGCCCGTGGTCCAGAGAGACCCGGGTTCGGTTCCCGCTAAGGGCACGTATACCTCAGTTGCAGTTTGTCCCCGGCCCTGGTTGGTTGTGCGGGTGGCGACCACTCGATGTGTCCCTTTCACATCGATGTTTCTCTCTCTCTCTTCCTCTCTCTCCCTCCCACTCCACCTGAACAAAAAAATGGGAAAATGTCCTCGGGTGAGGATTAATAAAAAAAAAAAAAAAAAAAAAAAAAAAGAATTTTATATCCAGCAAAACTATCCTTTAAAAATGAAGAAAATAATCAAGGCATTCCAAGATAAACAAAAGCTGAGGGAGTTGCTGCTAATAGACCTGTTCTACAAGAAATGCTAAAGATAGTTCTCTAGGTAGAAATGAAACTAGACAGTAACTTAAGCCATGTGAAGACATAAAGAATGCTGATAAGAGTAATTATATAGGTGAATATAAAAGGCAGTATTATTGTATTTTTGGTATATAACTTTTTTCCCCTACATAGTTTAAAATATAAATGCATAAAACAACAGTTATAGGTTGTTTATGTGCACACAGTTATAAAGATATATTTTCTGACAACAAAAACAAAGGTGCAGATGGAGCTGTATAGGGACAGCATTGTTATATACTGCTGATGCCAAAGTTGTATTAGTTAAAAATAGATTGTTATAAATTTGAGAGGTTAATTATAATCCTGAGGGTAACCATCAACAAAATAAAAATATACAGAAAAACAAATGAGAAAGGAATGAAATGGTACACTACCCAAAAAAAATCAAATATAAGAGAAAGCTATAATGGAGGAACTGAGGAACAAAAATAGCAAAAGGGAAGAAATACTTTCTTATCAGTAATTACCTTAAATATAAATGAATTAAACTCTGCAATTAAGACAGAATGGATCATCAAACAGTCCACATATATGTTGTCTACAAGAGATTCACTTGAGATCCAAAGATATAAATAGGTTAAAAATGAAAGAATGAAAAATATTTCATGCAAATAGAAGCCAATAGAGCTGGGTTGGCTGTATACTAACATTAGACAAAATAGACATTAAGGTAAAAACTCTTATAAGAGGCAGAGAAGAATATTGTATATTGAAAAGGGTAAATTTATCAAGAAGATACAAGTTTTTCTCAAGTACATATAGGGGATGTGAGGGCGATCTGGCTGCGACATTTGTCACCCCATTGATCGCCAGGGTTGATTCGGCTGATCTGGCTGGTTAGGCGGGTGTCCCCCTCCTCCCTCAACCGATCCATGTTCGTCCCTCCCGAAGCTGCGCGCTCGGTCGAAGAGGACGACCTTTCCCCCAGAGGAGAGGACCGGTCTTCGGTCAAGGGTATACGAGTAGCTGCGCTCCCCTGCTAGAACCTCCAAACAAGCTCTCAAGGTCAAGTACATATAGGGAATTCTTCAGTATAGACCATATGTAGGCCATAAAACAAGTTTATTTTTTTTCTAAAATATTTTTTTCTTTATTGATTTTAGACAGAGAGGGAGAAGGAGAAAGAGAAACATCAATGAGAGAGAAAATCAATTGGCTGCCTCCTCATGCCTCCCGATTTCCCCCCACTGGGGACTGAGCCCACAACCTGGGCATGAGCCCTGACCAGGAATCAAACCTATGACCTCTTGGTACATGGGTCGATGCTGAACCACTGAGCCACACTGGCCAGGCTCACAAAACAAGTTTCAATAAATTAAAAAATATTAAAATCATATAAAGTATCTTTTCTTACAATGGGATGAAACTAAAACTCAATAACAGCAGGAAACTGGAAATTAAAAAAAAAATGTTTTTAGGCCCTGGCCAGTTTGGCTCATCGGTTAGAGCGTTGGCCTACAGTCCAGAGAGACCCAGGTTCCGTTCCCGCTAAAGGCTTGTACCTCAGTTGCGGTTTGTCCCTGGCCCTGGTTGGGTCGTGTGGGTGGCAAACACATCAGTGTGTCCCTTTCATGTCGATGTTTCTCTCTCTCCCTCCCTCCCTCCCACTCTGTCTGAACAAAAAATGGAAAAATGTTCTTGGGTGAGGATTTAAAAAAAAAATGTTTTTAGCCCTGGCTGGTTTGGCTCAGTGGTAAGAGTGTCAGACCATAGACTGAAGAGTCATGGATTTGATTCTGGTCAAGGGCATGCACCTCAGTTGCAGTTTAGTCCCAGGCCCTGGTCAGGGTCATGCAGAGGCAACCAATTGATGTGTCCCTCTCACATCGATGTTTCTCTCTCTCCTTCCCTCCCACTCTATCTGAAGATAAATAGAAAAATAACCTTGGGTGAGGATTAAAAAAGAGAGAGAGAAAAAAATATGTTTTTGTTGAATTTTTAGAGAGAGAGGAAGGGAGAGAGAGATAGAAACATTGATGTGAGAGAGAAACATCAACCAACTGCCTCCTGCATACCCACTGCTGGGGATCAAGTCCTCAACCCCAGCATGTGCCCTGACCAGGAATCCAACCGGGACCATTGTATGTACAAATTAGATAACCTAGATGAAACAAACCGATTACCAAATTGACTCAAGAAGAAAGAGATAACAGACATATTGGAATGGACTTATAATAAGTAAAAAAGATTAAGTCACTAATGAAAAACCTTTGAAAAAGAAATGCCTAGGACCAGATTTCTTGGCTAGTTAATTCTATCTTGCATTTAAAGAAGAATGAACACCAATCCTTCTTAAAGTCTTCTAAAATATAGAAGAGGAGGGAATATTTCTGAATTAATTTTATGAGAATAGCATTATTCTGACACCAAAGACATAATAAAAAACAAAAAACATAAAAGCAACCCACTGCCTTGGCCAGTGTGGCTCAGTTGGCTGAGGTTCACCTGAGCACTGAAAGGTCGCTGGTTTGGTTCCCAGTCAGGGCACATGCCCAGGTTGCGGGCTCCATCCCCAGTGCGTGTGAGTGGCAGCCAATAGATGAATTCTCTCTCGTATATATGTTTCTCTCTTCCTTATCCCTCCTTCCCTTTTTTTCTCTCTAAAAATTTTTAAAAACTATAAACATCCATTATGAATATAAATGCAAAAATCCTTATCAAGATACTAACAAACTGAATCCAGCAGCATACTAGTTTTGTTATTGTTAATTCTCACCCAAGGATATTTTTTCCATTGATTTTTTTTTTTTTTTAGAGAGTGGGAGGGAGGGAATGAGAGAGAGAGAGAAGCATTGATGTGAGAGAGACTCATTAATTAGTTGCCTCCCACACGCACACTGATGGGGCCGGTATCTAACTTGCAACCCAGATATGGGTCCTTGACTGTGAATCGAACTTGAGACCCTTTGGTGAGTGGGCTGATGCTCTAAACACTGGGCCACAGCAGCCAGGACATCCAGCAACATACTTAAAAGGATTATACACCATGACCAAGTGGGATTTATCCCAGATTGCAAGGTTCAATGTAAAAAAATCGATGTAATGTACCAATAGAATGAAGGAAAAAACTCTACATGATTACCTCAGTTGATGCTGAAAAATCCATCACCTTTTGATCCAAAGATACAAATAGGTTGAAAGTGAAAAAATGAAAAGATATTCCATGCAAATAGAAACCAATAAAGAACTATACTAAACAAACAAACAAACAAGTTAAACAAGAACTAGAAGAGAATTCTTTAGCTGGCTAATGGATACTTATGAAAAATTCCATAGCTAACATCATACTTCATGGTGAAAGACAGGAATTTTTTTTCCCTAAGATCAGGAACAAGACAAAAAAACCTCTGCTTTCCCCATTATACCGCATGTACTAGAAGTTCTAATCAGAGCAGTTAGGCAAGGACAAGAAATAGAAGATAAGTAAATTGTAATGGAAAAGCTGAAATTATCTTTATTTGCAGATGATTTGATCTTATATATAGAAAATCTTGAAGAATACACACACACACACACACACACAACTATTAGAGCTATTAAACAAATTCAGCAAAGTTGCAGGATACAAGACCAACAACAAAAATCAGTTATATTTCTGTACACTAACAATGAACAGTCTGAAAAGGAAAGTAAGAAAGTCTATTTACAATAGCGTCCAAAATAATAAAATACTCAGGAACAAGTTTATTCAAGGAGATGAAAGATGTGTATAATGAAAATTATAAAATGTTGCTGAAATAAATTAAATAAGACCTAGATACATGGATTAGAAGACTTAAGACTTAACACTATCCAAAATGAACTACAAATTCAACCCAATTCCTATCAAAAATTTAACAGCCTTTTCAAAAAAGTGAAATTTAAAATCAGGTCCTCAAATTCATAAGGATATGCCAGGGGCCCTGAATGACCAATACAAAATTGAAAATGAAGAACAAAGTTGGAGGACAATGGACACAGATAACAGTGTGGTAGAGGCAGGAGTGGGGAGAAGGGTGTCAATGGGGGAAAAAAGGAGGGACATCTGTAATACTTTCAACAATAAAGGTATGTTTTTAGCCTGGCCAGTTTGGCTCAGTGGTTGGAGCATCAGCCTGCAGACCAGAGAGTCCCGGGTTCAGTTCCCACTAGGGGCACGCACCAAAAAAAAAAGATAAAT